GCAATGAGGTGATAAACATTTGAATACATGATCTTGTTAATTCTCAGAACCACCCCATAAAGCAAGTGTATTGCCCCCTGTTTACAGTTGAGAAGTTATTTGCTCAGGATTACACGAATAGTGAGTGCCAAGTCAGGACTGCACTTAAACAAATACCAATTCTTTATACTAAAATGAATAGAGTTATGCAAATGTAGGTTTTATTATACCTAGAGTCATGCTGATTTTGGGATATAGATGCCCCATTTATAGTTGATATAATAATTAGGCTGTATTGTCATTCTAATGAGTACTTGTACTTTAAGGAGGATGAGGCCAACAAAGATAAGAATTTATGAATTATTACACTATGTCAGATCTTTCTACCCTAGTTTCTGTTGAAGAATGCAAGGAATGAATCCCAGCATAAAAGAGCACAGCTATTTAACTTTACCAAGTTGCAGATTACTTCCCTACAGACAGTTTCTCTTAATAATCAATTAAGTATCTGTCATTCATAATTTCATATGAACATATTTGAAGCAATGTTTGCTTTCAACATCTATTGATTTTGATGTTATGATACATTTTCATAAGCTTATTTGTATTAATACTATTTTATTTCCCTCCTCCTCCCCCTGTACACACAATGCATCCAATTTCAAGATGAATGAATATAATTTTATACAAGTAGAAGAAGTGTTTGTCTATTTAGTTCTCATGACTTTTCATTGTAATTTCTTGTGTTTGATCATTTGGAGCAAAGCAACATATTAGGAACCAGTATAAGTAATGATGTCCTGGGTTGCAATTGATACTTTAATACCCATCAAACCCTTAGGTATAATTCAGGTTATTTTCCCTTAAAATTTTTTTCTTATATTTGCTCAAGGCTCATCTATTGCCTTTTTTTTTTTTTTTTTTTTGGTGGTAGTGATGGAGCCCATCACACAAAAAATAATGAGATCATCCTGAGTTCAATTCCTATAGATTGCTGCATACATTTAATACATACTACATAAAGCTATATAGTACAGATGCATGGGTAGATCAGCACACAGAAGAAATAAAAAGGGAGAGGAAGAGAAAGAGGTGCCAGGGAGAGAGAGAGAAGAATCATGACCCAGGAGTTAAGAAAAAAAACTAGAACCTTACTCAACGTGATTTGGCAAATTGGAAAAAAAAATTATCAGCTATTTAAAAATATTGAGGGTTCGAGGTGAAGGGAGGCTCTATTTGTCAACAGGAAGCTATGGACTCTGCACCTCTATTTATATAAACAACATTTGCTTTTTCTGTCTTAGGTTCTGCCCAGAAGTTGGCATCTGACTGCTGTTTCTGGGTCTGCTTGACTGGTTTTAGAAAAAAAAAAAAAACTGTGGCCACCTGCTCCACGTTACCACAGGGAAACCTCAACAAGTCACTTTCCCTGATGTTTGGTCAGTGAAAATGCTAAAAGGTACAAGAATCTCAATTTTTATTGGAGTGTTACATTTTTAGCCACATCTCCTCTTCCCCAAATATTGACAAAACTATAAAGATGGTCCTGCTCCTTCTCTGCTATGCTCCTGATGTCCTTCCATCCCACCCTGTAAATTTCCAGATTTCTCAGGACCTCTTCACACATTCCAAATTCCCTTCTCTCATCTTCCAGCCTCCTGGTGCCCCTGCCCTGATGTCAACCCATCATCACTTTCCTGCCTCCTTATCCCCCTTGTCTGGCGCTCTTCTGTCTTCTGTTTTTTCTCAGATTTTCTTCTCCTTTCACTGTGTTATAGCTGCTTCAGTACAGAAGGAAGAGGAACCTTAGAAGTAGCAAGTTGCTGGTACCTTCTGACCAGGTGTAAAGTATTTGGTTAAACATTCAACTTTTGCAACAAACACTCTGAAGCAGACAGCGGAGGTAGGAGCTTGTGGCTAGCAACATATCCTGGTTGATGTCATCAAAAGGAAGGCCTGAAGTGGGGAGACCAGCTGGGGTTTGCACATCTGCCTCTGAGTCAAAAAAATACTAAGAGAAAGTGTGCGTGGAACTCTATTCTGAGAGTATGGTACACACTGGTTTTCCAGAATCTGTTCATTCTAGGATAAAGGAGAATTTTCTTCAATCATAAGAAAGAAAGATGGAAAAAGGCTCAGAGTAGAATCAAGTCAATTTGGGAAGAGAATATAAGGGTGAGCCTTTTGGCTAAGCAGATGAGGTTGCTATCTACCATACAATTGCAAGGCACCCGAAAGGCATTCAATCTCAAAAATTGCCTAACCATTCTTTTACCAAATTCTTTAATTCCAACATTAAAGATCCATTATTTTGGTTTCAATCATTGTTTTTTATTACAATGCTAACAAGGTTGTCATTTGTGCTCACCAGGACAAGAATAATGTCAATACCTGAAATAGTAAGAGGTTTTCAAACCTTTTCAGGGAGGGAGCACGAAAAGAAAACTAGAGCATCCAGGACCTGAGATGGGGCAGGGTTTTAAAAAAAAAAAAAATGAAAATAAGAAAAGGAGACAAATGGAGTCCTGCCAAGAATATAGAGAATATGGAATATAAAAGAATATAGAGGGAAAGAATTGGGACCAAAAGCAATCTCCTGAAACTTTGACCCAACACCATTACTAGGTGAAAGTTACGGGGAAAACCAAGACTATATGGATAAGGAAAGAAAGGATGAGAAAATGTTGGTTTACATATCCAGAAGAGGAAAAAAGGGTAGAGAACATAGAACAATTAGCAATGGCAAAACACAGAGGGGCTAAAGGGAGCAAAAAAGAAAAAAAATTCTGGTGAGCCTAAGAAGGCCACATCTAGAGGAGAGGAAATAATTTTGGAATGCTGTAGAACCAATGGTAAAGTTGTGGAGTAAAGAAGAATAGAATTTAAAAAATAGCAGAAGGGAATAATTTGAGCAATATTGGTACTCAGTTTTCAAAGTGAGGTAAAAGAACATAAATTCAGGTGTTCTTTGTAAACAAGGAGCGAAGTAGTTAAGAGCTAAGGCTCCTAACCAAAAGATCAGAATTTTGAATCCACCAGCTGCTCCTTGGAAACCCTATTGGGGCGGTTCTACTCTGTCCTATAGGGTCACTATGAGTTGGAATCGGCTCAACAGCTATGGATTTGGTTTTTGTTTGTTTGTTTGTTCTTTGTAAACATAAAAGAGAAGAGAAAGAGAAATAACCACACCACAGACCATTCTCTCCTGGGGAAGAAATTAGAAAAAACAGGTTTTTTTTTTTTTTTTTTTTAATTTTAAAATGCTTTATTTGCATTACACAATATTGGGATTGAGATTCTGCCTGGTGGGAATGTCACCTCCTGTTCAGTAGGAAGATCAAGCTCGTAAAAGATTCTTTAGCAATTCTTAGAAACTCTGTTCTTACGAGGTTCCTGTACGGTGGCTACAATATGCATTAATATGTCTGTCTGTATATGAGTACATTTAATTCTAAAAACTGTGTGGAGCAGAGATTACAGGCTTCATGCTTTTGTAGCATTTCTCCTTAACCAATTGTACAAATCCCATTAAACTAAATTGTTTCTTGACAGCAGAAGTTTGTTCCTCAGTTAGCTCGTTTTCTTAGCAATATGAAAGGAATGCAAGCCCTACTAAGCGGAGCTGTTATGTAATTTGTTGTCTCGAGCTCCTATTTGATTTCCACTGGCTTTTATAGAAAGTTGTTGAGTTATTCAGAGGAAACAGTCTATAATACATAATTTATCACTTATTTTAACTTTTTTTCTGTTACAGTGTGGACTGATGTCCTAATATAGCATAGTTTTCCTCCTTATAAAGCAGACACAGGTCGTTCTTAATTAGACTATATCTGGGCTTCAAAATCTATGAATAATGCACTTAAATCCAAAGAATAGCAGAATTAAATGAAACCTAGAACTAATATAAATTTAACCTTCTCATTTTAAAGATGGGGAAATTATAGTAGGGTCTAATGAGGGAAAATGACTTATCTGAGGCTACTTGGTTACTGCCAGGGCCGGGATAATGTCATGTTAGTCATTAGGTAAACTTTCTCCCTATCTATTAAAATTCAGGTCTAAATTCCTTTCTCAGGCCCAAGATGAGGCAGAAGCCATTTGCACAAGAATCTCTACAGATTTCGGTAAAGGGTGAGGATGAAAGAAGTAGCAACAACTCAAGGAAACTCGGCCCCATGGTATAGTTTCACATGAAGTTGTCTATTTTATTTTGTGGAGGTGGGCTAACTTCAAGTACTACCATAAATGAATAAGTAAATGAGATCTACTTTCCAACTCTGCCAGCAGACTGGACAACTGCATGAAAACTTGGATAGGGAACCATAGGTCCAAGTTCATGAGCCGGTGTGGTCCTCTCTTTAACCCTTACCTCTGATTTTAGCAGAAGACAACAGTTTGCTAGTAGGATTATGTATTTCTTGGTTCTACTGGAGAATTTGCTCAGACTACAAAAATTATCACGTTCTTTTTCATAAATATCCCAGACAAATGCCAGGACAATCCAGCAGAATAGTTAAAATAAGAGCAAAGAGGAACATGGAGATGAGTAGGGAGTTAGTCTAGAGAACTCTTCGAAAGGAAAATAAATCAAGTCCTACGACTAGCTAAAATGGACAATGGTGGCATCTTTCATCCTACAATCTATCTCACACAGATTTAAAGGTTAAGACTGTTAACCTAAAGTTCATATTTCCCTGAAATTGTATGTAGAATATTTGTATATAAGCAATGTGGTCATCATTTATCTGCTATGACTATGATATTGGGAAGCAGCACAAGCATGCAATAATGTAGACTGTATTTTTAAGTACTGAAAAATGAGATAACTGTTATCAGTTTAGGTAAAAAAAAATCAGGAAGTGGAGGCAAAAGCTTAACATTGCAAAGGGATTGGTTTAACTAATACCAATACTAATGTCTCCATTATCTGACAGGAGTTACCTGGACAAGAAGGAATTCCCTCTTCCTAGAGCATTCCCTTCCTCCCACCCATACTTTATTTCTTCTTTCCTCTTCCTTGATCACAGACCATTGGGTTTCTACAAATTCAATTTTTTACAGGGAGGGAGTCGGAAATACTTGGAGCGACGGAGTCGTCTTGGGGGCAGGCCAGCCATCTGTCGGCAAATCTCATCTAGAAGAGAAGCAGGGCACGATGGGATGAGAATGCAGGAAGATATCAAGAAATCATGTTTTAAGGGAAAGAGAAGACTTTGCAGTGTGGTGGTGTCAAAAGATTGAAGAGAAGCTAATTTGGGTTAGAACCCAAGATCTGCCACTTACTAGTTATTTACTACTTACTAGAAAGTTTCTTAACTTTTCTGAAACTCACTACCCCATTCTGTAAAATAAGCATTCAACTACTTACCTCAACAGTGTAGCTGTGAGTGTTAAATGGAAATAACGTATGCAAAGTAACAAGCACAGTCTTTGAAACATAGCAGGTGATCAGTGACTGTTAGGTTCTGTTATAGAATATGTCCTCCAAAAATGTGTGTTGTAAATCCTAACCTCTATGCCTGTGGTTATAACCCCATTTGGAAATGCATTGTCTTTGTTATGTTAATGAGACGAGATTAGAGTGAGGTGTATCTTGAATCAATCTCTTCTGAGATTTGATAGAGGTTAAACAAGCGAGCAGAGGAGAGATTGAGTAAGATAGATGCCAAGACACATGGAGATCTCCCAGAAACAAGGAAGCAGAAGCTGAAGAGACAAGGACCTTCTTCCAGAGCCAACAGAGAGAAACTCTTCCCCTAGAGCTGGCATTCTGAATTCAGACTTCTACTCTCCTAAACCGTGAGAAAATAAATTTCTATTTGTTAAAGCCACTCACTTGTGGTATTTCTGTTATAGCAGCACTAGATAATTAATGGAGCCCTGGTGACGTAGTGGTTAAGAGCTTGGTCGCTAACCAAAAGGTAGGCAGTTCTACTCTGTCCTGTAGGGTCGCTATGAGTCGAAATCGACTCGACGGCGACAGGTTTAGGTAACTAATATAGGTTCCTTTATACCCTGTCTCCCAATTCTTCTAATCATGGACCTATTAAATAGAAAAAACAAGGTCCAGTCATTCAATACGCATGTAAGTGTTTACTATGTGCAAATAGCTAACTTTAGTAAGTCCCCTGAGACACTTGAAAGTGCCTAGAGTCCCAAATACTCATCCTCAATCTCAAGGTGCTTCCCTTGCAGGTGGCTTGCCCAGAGCCAGCAGGGGAAAAGCAGTAAGTTTCCTTCTGCGAAGTTAACTACAGGTCTTACTCAGGAACTCAGTGCAAAGCGGGCTGCTGAGTCAGAAGTGGCTGTGTCTGTGGTGCCTTCACCAACCGCAGTCATCATTTGGGGCTGGTTATGGGGAAAGTGAGAAGTACCTTTGTTCCCACTATGCATGTTCTATAACCACATTTGGAACTATTATAGCTGCTCCAATAGTCTTCTTTCCTACCTCTGAAATTTCACAATAAGCAATATAAATGCTTCTGAAATTGGATCATGTTTATAATATAGCTAGTTTCTAAATGTCCAATCTGTTTTTTATCTATAGGCCCTATACAAACCTTACTGTCTCCAAATTAGTGTTTGTTTTTCCTTTTCTTTTTAGAGTTATGAACATGGCTGTTGACTGGGAGAATCTATTTTCCATAATGGCTGGCTTGGCCTTTTCACCTAGAACCCCAGCAAATGATCTTCAAAGCAGCCAGAGCTCTAGGAAGCTATACGTATAGGAGAGGCTGGGAGTTACAATCTAATTAGAAAATGGTGTAGGATATTTTTCTTAGGTTGTGTTTGTATCTTAAGCATACCGCTTTACTTAGATTGTTCATTTGGAATAACTGAAATAAATGGGCTGGTGGAAGCTAAGGGGGTAGACTGAACCCCTACTTGTTCCTGCCTGCTTCAACATGGTAGATCCATTAGCACAATGTTCCTTTCTCATGACCATCCTTCCCTATTAAACACCCAGACATCATCTTACCTTTCATAACTTCATGTTCCTTACAGACAAGACGGGAGCATATCTCCCTGTTGACGATGTACACGCGCCGTAAACTGTCACAGTCCCGATGTCACAGTCACGGAAGGAATAGAAAAGGCATTGAGAAGAAAGAACTAGTCTAGATTTAGGTTGCCTCTTTAATTCCTGTATTCCCCACTCTCTCCTATCCCTACCCACCAATCTGGACTTCCTTAAGTATTTTGTACTTTTTCTTTTTTTTCTGGAGGAGTGTAGGGAACAGAATTGTGTTAATTACTCTTCTTTAATTACACTTTGCACATTCCTTGGCCTAGAGTTACTTTGCACATTCCTTGGCCTAGAGTTGAGCTTAATATTCCTTCCCACTATTTACGACCTTTACAGTTGTATATTTCGCTTCAGCCTCTATCAGATAATAAAATCAATGTAGCGGTATTTCCCTCACAACCCTCCTTTCTCCAGTCCTCACCTTCACTTGTCTTCTAACATCTAGGCTTGTCAGGCATCCTAATCTCTGTACACCTCAACACAGACTCCAGGTTCGAGTTGACACCTTCAAGAATAGCTAGGAGGGTTATGCTCAAAATTTTTATTCTATAAAAGACTGCAATTCCATAATGGGTGCTCATTAAACAGTTACTGACATGAAAACACTACCGTGGAAGATGCTCTCTGGGCATTCTGGGCTTCCTTACCTGTTGAAGCATGACTGATTAATACATAGCTTGACTGGTCGGTTTATAGAGTAGAGTCTTGTGCAAGGAAATTTCTCATCTCGGCAGCCTGAAGAAACCCAACATAAAAAATCAGGAGGTGCAAATAGGAGAGGCATAAACAATAAATAAGGGGGTAGGGAGAGTGAGATAGAGTGGGTAAAAATTCACAGTAATCCCTACAGAGAATCGTCGTAAGTTGGGTCATGCCCTTTCTGCTCAGGAAAGCAGAGCAAGAAGAATTTGGTTAACATTGTCATTGGGCAACATGTGTACTAACTGTTTAATGAGAAACTATTTTGTTCTGTAAACCTTCATCTAAAGTGAGAATAGCAGCCCAATTGGAAGAGCGTAGTCGATGTCACTGAACTGTGCATGTAGAAATTTTTGAAATGGTGTAGCTTTGGCTATGGATATTTTCACCCAAAAAAAAAAAAGGTTGAGAAGGTAGAGCGTTGACATGTTGTGGGGTTGTTAACCAATGTCATAAAACAATATGTGTACTACTGTTTCATGAAGAAACTATTTGTTCTGTAAACCTTCACCTGAAGTACAATAAATAAATAAATAATCTTTTTTTAAAAAAAGACGTCTTTGGCAGCAAAAAAAAAAAAAAAGAAGAAGAAGAATTTGGTTAAAATGAAATTTAGGTGATTCCCTATCTGGAAGCAAGAGGGGGATAAAATAATCTCTGAGGCTTCTACTACTAAAAAGTCCTTCCAGGATTATCCAGGTGGTAATATGAAATACTACACTGAATTGCTCAGAATCCCATTCTGAAGAATGAGAATTCTCAGGCAGGTCACTATTTCTCTGTTTCAGTAGTTTTCAACTCTAGCTGCACATCAGAATTATCAGTACATTAAAACCAAAAACACCAAACCCGTTGCCATCGAGTCAATTTCGACTCATAGTGACCACATATAGCCCAACTGATTTTACTTCCCAACCCACTAACCATCAAATAAAGTCCAAGGGTAGTTGAGGAAGAAGGCTATTTCAGGACCATGCAACAGTGGTCCTATCTTTTTCCCCACGGCTTTTACGCTTCATTTTTCATAAAAAGGGGGAGTGAGGGCACTAAAAATAGTTTCTCAAAAAGAATTGGAAGTAAGTTAGAAGACGTACCAACTACCCACAACAGAGCAAGGAGATAAGGAAACCACAGGAAGGAAAAAAAAAGAAAAAGACATGCAAGAGGCAATCATACCTGTGGTGGCGTTTCTGTCATTGGACGAGGCTGAAAGACAGAAATTTTATTCAGTTATTACTAGTTTTCTCAAAAAGAATTGGAAGTAAGTTAGAAGATGTACCAAGTACTCATGACAGAGCAAGGATAAGGAAACCACAGGAAAGAAAAAAAAGAAAAAGACATGCAAGAGGCAATCATACCTGTGGTGGCATTTCTGTCATTGGGCGAGGCTGAAAGGCAGAAATTTTATTCAGTTATTGCTAGTTCCAAAAATTACCACCTCTGTACCTGTCATATTGCCTCATTTAGGACCCACTTTGGGTCTCCATGAATAGAGAACAAAGGTTTAATAACTCTTAGCAATTTCTGAAAGAAAACCTGTGATGCCGCAAAACTGAAGAGATTTAGGAGTTTGGGTGGGAAATCTGATTTTGTCCTTCTCCTTTCTTTCCCAGATACTTAAGAAACACATAGTACTGTGAGTATCTTTATTGTTGTCAAGGATCAAATTTAATAAGAAAACAAGGCAAAGAGCCATACGCCCTGAAGAGCTTTATCCTAGGGCTAACGAAAGGATTATTATTCTGTAGAAGCTCCTCCTCATAAGAGAAAAATTCTTCTCTGTAGATTAGACACACCATCAGGGTTCTTTGATAAAAGTAGTTGGGTAAGGGTAGAGAGAGTCATAGCCATAGCCAAACCTATGCTAGGGGCTAGTTAAATATGGAGCTAGTTCCGAGAATGGAGAAGATGTCAAGGAGTTAGATGAGAGTTGAGGGAATAGACTATCTGGGAGAGCTGCCATTGGAAGAGTTAGTAAAAGACAGGATACTACAAAATATGCTAGGTGTTCCCATCTATCCCATAATTTCAATTACAGGTTATATGCTAATAATTCGTAAACCTGTATTTCTAGTCCAGATCTCCCTCCTAAACTCCAGGCCTATAAACCCAACTACCTTTTTATGGTAGAGTTCTTGGATTTTTCAAAGATCTTTCAAATTTATCATATCTCTAATTGGATACACAAGTTCAAGTTCCTCTTTCCCATCACCAATTCAAGGTGTTTTTTCAGTGAATGGTACCACCATCTACCCAACAGCTACATCCAGAAATCTGGACATCATCTCAACAATTCCTTTCCCTTTACAGCCCATGTTCAATTCTCACTACCTCTTCCTGGATTGAGGCCATCATCTTTTTTTTTTTTTTAATTGAACTTTAAATGAAGGTTTACAGAACAAACTAGCTTCTAATTAAACAGTTAGTAAATATATTGTTTTATGGCATTGATTAACAACCCCATGACATGTCAGTGCTCTCCCTTCTTGACCTTGGGTTTCCTATTACCAGCTTTCCTGTCCCCTACTGCCTTCTCATCCTTGCACCTGGGCTGGTGTGCCCCTTTAGTTTCATTTTGTTCTATAGGTCTGTCCAATCTTTGGCTAAAAGGTGAACCTTCGGAGTGACTTCATTACTGGACAAAAGGGTGTCCGAGGGCTACACTCCCAGAGTTTCTCCAGTCTCTGTCAGGCCAGTAAGTCTGATCTTTTTTTATGAGTTAGAATTTTGTTCTACATTTTTGTCCTGCTCTGTCCGGGTCGCTGTATTGTGATCCCTGTCAGAGAAGTGAGTAGTAGTAGCCGGGCACCATCTAGTTGTACTGGACTCAGTCTGGTGGAGGCCATAGTAGTTGTGGTCTATTAGTCCTTTGGATTAATCTTTCCCTTGTGTCTTTAGTTTTCTTCATTTTCCCTTGCTCCTGATGGGGTGAGACCAGTGGAGTATCTTAGATGGCTGCTCACAGCCTTTTAAGAACCTAGACGCTACTCACCAAAACAGAATGTAAAACATTTTCTTTACAAACTAGGTTATGCCAGTTGAGCTAGATGTTCCCTGAGACCATGGTCCCCGCAGCCCTCAGCCCAGCAATTCAGTCCCTAAGAGAGTTTGGATTTGTCCATGGAGCTTCCATGACCCTACCCTGAACAAGTTGTGCGGGTTTCCCCAGTACTGTGTACTGTCTTATCCTTCACCATAGTTACCACTTATCTATTGCCTATTTAGTGTTTTTCCACCTCCACCCCTCCCCTCCCTCGTAACCATCAAAGATTGTTTCCTTTTCATGAGTTTTTACAGTGGTGATCTCCTACAATATTTGTCCTTTTGTGATTGACTTATTTCACTCAGCATAATGCCCTCCAGATTCATCCATGTTGTGAGATGCTTGGCAGACTCATTATTGTTCTTTATTGTTGCATAGTACTCCATTGTGTGTATGTACCACAGTTTGTTTATCCATTCATCTGTTGATGGGTGTCTAGGTTGTTTCCATCTTTTTGCTGTTGTGAATATGCTGCAGTGAACATGGGTGTGCATATGTTTATTTATGTGACAGCTCTTATTTCTCTAGGATATATTCCTGTGAGTGGGATTGCTGGATAGTATGGTACTTCTATTTCTAGCTTTTTAAGGAGGCACCATACCATTTTCCAGAATGGTTGTACCATTTTGCATTCCCACTAGCAGTGCATAAGAGTTCCAATATCCCCACAGCCTCTCCAGCATTTGTTATTTTCTGTTTTGTTTTGATTCATGCGAGTAATGTCAGGCCATTATCTTTTATTGGGACTACTACAATAGCTTTTCATTACTGTTCCTGGTTCCAGGCTTATCTAGGTCAAATTCATTCTCCACATTGTCATTGGGAGTGATGTTTCCAATGCACAAATCCGATAAGAATCACCTCCTGTGCGCACCCTTTCCACTTGGCTTTCATTTCTATCCCAAGCCTATTCTCTACACTTGAACATTTCTTCCCCTTTCTGTTTACCTTGTTAATTTGTACTTTGTCTTTCAGGCAGCAACCTAGCCAACGTGACCTTCAAGAAATGTCACCTTTCTGAATCCCCATAACTGAATATAGTTGATGCTGTATGTGCTTTCACAGCTTTGTTTGCTTACCCTGATTTTTAATCACTTAATCAAGTTATCTGTTCACTTGCCTATTATGCAGAAGATACTTGGTGGGAGAAAATCAGTTTTTTGTTTTTCGGTCTTATATCCCTGGCATCCAGTATAATGCCTAATACATAGCAGGCTTTCAAGAAGTATTTGTTAATCTACCTTCTATCTCCTATTCTGGTTTCTCAAATTCCCCTACTTGTTCCTTGTAGTTTTTGCCCTGGTCATTCCAATTAGTTTTCCTTATGTATCAAGATTTGTTTTGCTTTCACACCTTTGAACACGCTGTTCCTTCTGGCTGGAATGCCCATCCTTTACTTGGATGTCAATTCTTCCTTCAAGATTCAGTTCAAGCATTACTTCTAGAAATCTTTTTTTTTTTTTTTAATCTTCCCAAACATGAATTTTTTTACGTATTTGTCTCCCCTTTACACCACACAAAGTTTTAGAATCTTTGAGAGAAAGAGCATATCTTAGTATTTCGTATATCAAACAACTAGCACAGTTCCTGCATTTACTGGCTCAAAATGTTTACTGATTTGAATTAAACTGTAGGAAAAACGTGCTACATAAACTGTAATCCTGTTGATTTAGGATCCTTCACCAATTGCACTGCCTTCCATATGGACTCTGGGGTAAGCCCAGAGTGGCCCTGGTGGCCCTAGGATCCCAGATCTGAACTCACCCAGGTCATCTGTGGAAGGCTCGATATCAGCCAGAACTGAAAAGGCACAAAACAGCAGGTGTGAGGAGGGTTTTGAATTGGCAAAGGGGGAAGGCAGAAAAGGAAAAGGGAGAATGGAGATAATTAGGGCAAGGGTCAAGGCTATGGCTAGGTTTCTGTGTTATGTTAAAGGGAGTAAAATTAATTGAAGTAATTGTGAATATTTATTGAAGAATATTGGTCCTATTGACATAGTACTAATTTTTGGAAGCCTGTATTATCCAGGCTCTATTTTAGCTATGAATCCATTTTGTTCCCTCTTCTTAGAGGGCTAGAAGATCCCTTTTATCCCAGTGTCACTGAAGAACACACCCACAACACCTTTATCACTTTCTCAGAGATAAAAATATAGGATTAATTCCAGAACTGGAATCAATATTGTGAATATCAACAAGAATCATGCCATTTCTTCAGAATTGCCATAAAACTCACCTGTTTCATCTGTAGAGGGATCATTTACCAGATCTGTAAAGATACAAAACAGAGAACGAAAAATGCAGATAGGAAAAACAGCAAAGGGAAGTAAGATAAAGGGATGATGATCCAAAATAAGACAAGAGAAATTGAAGTGAAAGGATGTGGACTCTTGGGCAAATATAAAGGACTATGATGACCCAGGTTCGATTCCTGGTCAACGCACTTCATATACAGCCACCACGAGTCTGTCAGTGGGGCTTGCATGTTGCTATGACGATGACTAGGTTTCAATGAAGCTTCCAGACTAAGACAGACTAAGAAGAAATGCCTGGTGATCTATTTTCAAAAATTACCCAACCAAAACCCTCTGAGTCACAACGGTCTGATCTCCAACTGATTATGGGGATGGCGCAAGACTGGGAAGCATTTTGACCCATTGTGCATGGGTAGCCATGAGTCAGGGCCTGACTCAAAGGCAGCTAACAACATCACAGAAGGAAATGGAAGAGATAATAAGGTTGGGCTTGTAGAGTTGGTGTGTGAACCTCTTTTCCAGCTTTTATTTTTCTTTGTGCTGACATCATGCTCAATCCTTTTATCCCCAAAATGAAAAACAAACAACAACAACAAAAAAAATTAGCTTACTTGGATCTTCTGTGAATGGTTCTGGAGTCACAGGGGTCACATCATCTGAAAAAAGTATCAGAAAACATTTTCTGAGCATTCCCTGTCCCTCTCCCACCCTTGCACTCCCAGTAAGTGAAATTGTCTAGCATAGCACCCAGCACATAGTACGTATCCCACAATTGTTCTTTGCTTCCCCAACCTAAGTTCTTTCCCCTGTAACCCAAACACTGTACTTTCCTACTTCCATGATGATACTCCAACGGTCTTAGCCTAGAATATCTTTTTTCTTTGTCTGCTTGATCTAGAGAAATGAATGAACCACATGCCCATCTGACAGACATCCCCTTTCTCAATTTGGTTAAGCATTAGCCTGCAGGAATGCAAGGCTATATTCTCTAGTAAGAGTTTACAAATCAGTTGTGATTTTCTTTATACTATTGGAGCTGATTTAATAAACTGTTCTTAGTCAACTTACGTTAACTTCATTTGTCTAACCAATACTTACACATATAGCTAATTTGGAGTTACTATGTGCCACATACTGTTTAAATCACTTTATATATATTAACTTATTTAATTCTCATCAAAAAAAAAAAAGATGTCATCAAATCAATTCGGATTCATGGGGACCCTGAATTGTGTCAAAGTAGAACCGCTCCACAGGGTTTTCAAAAGCAGACCACTAGGATTTCATCCAAGGTGCCTCTGAGTGGGTTTGAACTGCCAGCCTTTTAGTTAGTAGGCAAGCGCTTAACTGTTTGCACCACCCAGGGACTTCTTTAACCCTCATAAGATCCCATTTTTGCAGATAAAACAGCACCAGGAAAATAGACAATTCGTCCAAGGTCATATGGCTTGTTAATAAATACAATGGAGTGATGACTTTTTTGCAATACTTACTTAAGATGAAAATTGTCTATACAAAAGACAATGATTTTGATATTTATAATCTTGATATAATTAGATGTGAATATACCCCTATGCTTATATACAATGCTCAGTAGAGGGATGTGGTAAAGAAAAAACAAACAAAAAAACCCGTTGCCATTAAGTTGATTCCGACTGAAATGCTAATATTGGGAGAGACTGCCTTGAAAAGTAAAGTCAAGAAGAAAAGAAATAAAATGATCCAGGTCGTAAAATGAAATTTCTTAGGATAAACAAAGAAAACTGTATCTGAAACTGTAAATAACAGCATTTCCTTAAAAAAAGAAAATTGTCTCTATTTTAAAGCAATATAACAAGGCAGTGTTTAAATATAAATATTTAGCAAATATTTTATCTGTAATTATCCTTCAATGTAGACTACTTAAATTTTACCCACTAGGTGTCAGCAAATTCACATACAGTAGTTTGCTTTGACCATTTTTGGGGGGGGTAAATCTTTAGGTTCTAAATGTTAGAGAATAAACATTTTATAAAGCATGTTCAAGTTCTTGATACGTGTAAGAGAGGTGAAATGTAAATACAACATTCCTTGGCGGCTTCTCCTACTTACTTCACCCTTTTTTTTTAAATTCCAGATAGAAATTCATCAGCTCTAATACAAGAATCTCTACCTTTAACCTTCTGTGTAAGTTCTTTCTTTCCGAACAAATTTTGATAAAAGAATTCAGTCCTGTTCCAGTCCCAACAAATATTTGAAAAACCACTGACCTGAATCATTCCAGAGAGGAATGAAGGCTGTCTAGGGTGTAGCCTAGTCCTGCCCCATTTCCCTTCCAGCAGAGATCTAGCCACATTACAGCCCAGTCATTCACAGAAATAAGAAGGAAGCAAAAGCAGACAGAGGGCTTGAGAGTGTCTGAGCTGTCTCCTCAGAATTTCAGGGCAGAATACTGCTTCTCTGCATATACCTCAGTTTACCTACCTTTCCCAAGAGCTACTACCATATAAATACTTTATCTAGGATTCATGAATGTTCTCTGAAAAGGAATCTTAAGAAACCATTTTCATCATATCTTACAATATTTCTGTTAGAAAGCATCCCAAAGTCTTGAAACGGGACAGAATCTCAATCAGCCAAGAGATGATTTTTAGTTTTACAAAGTGCTGAAATCTGATCTCGGCTGAGAAACTCAGAGGATCAGACATCCTTACCAACAACAGAAAAAAAAAAAAGTTTTTATTTCTGTTTTTTAGCGTCTGTACCAGACCCACAGTAAGAAGTACATATTATATTGTGTTCCAGGATGTTATTGTTGGTTACTGTCAAAGTTGATTCTGACTCATGGAGACCCCATGTGTGCAGAGTAGAACTGTGCCCATAGAGTTTTCAAGGCTGTGAACTTTCAGAAGCAGATTGCCAGGCCTGTCTTCCAAGGTGCCTCTGGGTGAGTTTGAACTGCTACCTTTCCCCTAGTAGTGAAGCACTTAACACCTTTTATAAAATAATACTTCACTATTGCAATGTACATGCAATGTACTCTGATCTTCTTATTTTAGTCTATTCTAATTCATTAAAACACATACCAATTGTGACCCACTAAATTGATTTTATGACCCATTGCATGCCACAGTGCTCTATCTTCTAACTCTGATCGAGAAAAGTAGGAGATACAGTTATGTTGAATGCCTTCAGGCAGGGTGGAGCTGTTGATCAGTTTCCTTCATCAAGTGGTCCTTTAAGAGTCAAAACTTTTGGGTTCTGTGGAGTCATACCACAATTTCACTGTAGTACTGAGATGACTTCTTACCCTGCCTTTGCATTTTAGTTTCTCCACTGCTATATGGGTAGAAAAATCCTTTTTATAGGGATTAGTAGCATTTTCTGAGTGAGATAAGAGATGTACAGGGGAGAGTGGAAGCAAGAGTCGGGCATAAAAGGAGGTCCTGAGAAAAAGTTATTTCAGTGATATTAAAAAAAAAAGACAAGAAGGTTTTATAAATTGGACATTGCAAATAGTTAAGCACTCGACCAAAGGTTGTCGGTTTGAACCCACCCAGAGGCACCATGGAAGAAAGACCTGGTGATCTGTTTTTGAAAGGTCACACAGCCTTGAAAATCCTATGGAGTGCAGCTCTACTTTACACACACCGGGTCACTAGAAGTCAGAATTGACTTGACAGCAACTAACAACAGGGTTGTAGAAGCTAGTGAAGTAAATCCTGCTTCCCACATGTTGGCAATGTATCTCTCTGTCCTATTACATATTCTTTAACTCTGGCCTTTCATCCACATTATCCTGATAAGAACCCCACTAGAGCCCGGATCCAAGGGTTCACTTACCTCCCCGCTGCCCATTGACCCCTAAGGGTATCCACTCTGTACCAAAGGAAGCAGAAAAGGGATGTGAGTGACTCCAGCTCTATACCTCATAACCTTTTTATGAGATGAACCAGATAATTATGGAGAAATGGTTTTACTATCTCTTTCTGTGTTCTTACTCTTATATAGATCAATACAAAATTACTCAGACCGTTAGTGTTCCACATAAACCTGATTGGAATAGAAATGCTCCAGAAAGACAAAAAATTTCCTGAAAACAAAGCCCTGCTCTGTCCTGCCCTGACCCCAGATTATCCCCTTGCCCTCATTCCTGACGAGAAGGAGTTTAAAGAGAGGGCCCATAGCCTTTCTAGTGTGTCCTGTCGTGCTATCTCCACAGTCCTCTAACTACCTGCAATACTGAACAAGGCAGAGGAGCTATTTTCTTACAGTCTATGTCTAACAGACTAAGAAAAAAAAATAAAGTAAGATTTCCTTAAAGTCTGCACTTTCCCTTCTGTGGCCAATCTTCTAACTAGTTTCTGTGAAATCTGTGAAGATCAATTTTCTTTTGTGTGTCGGTATGGTATATGTATTTTGTGTATGTGAGTATATATGTATGCATGCTGGTGCAAGTGTTTGTTGTGTGTTTGTATATTTATCCAGTGTTTTCCTTCAGGGTTAAAATTCGGTCCCGTTTCTTGTTAGTTTGTCTCTATGTGTTTGTGTATGCATCCGTTTACTTGTATATTTATGTGTGTATCTCCCTTTTGGTTAATAAGCATCTGTGTGTATCTTAATTTCACTTTAGTTTCATAACTCTTAGAATACTTCTTTCCAAGTTTGAGATCATCTATTCATATTCCTGCTCTTTCTCCTTCGACACAAAATCTGTTCTCTTCTTTGATAGCAGTTCTAGAGATCAATGGCAAGCACCTCTCCTTCCATTCCCCCGTCCACCTCGTTCCATCCTGCCCTCTAACACACACACATCCACACATAGGTATAGCTGAAGAACTAGCGTTTTCGGGAGAAAAGAATAAAGGCAAGGACTCACCAGAGGGGATGATGAGCACAGTGAGAAACAGCAACATCTTGTGTTCCAAGAGCAGCATATCTGGTAGAGGTAGTGGGGAGAGTACAGAGTGTAAGACTCAGGGGCATATCAGCATTTCAGTTCCAAGGAAGGATACGCTGGGGCCCCTGTCCCTTTGTCTTCACAGGGGTTCTCTTGGTCTCTCCTTCTGACTCAAGCCTTTTCTCTCTTTTCTTTCTCTTCTCTCACCCAACATTTATTTCTCTCTTTAATTCTATTCTTTGGCAACCTGTCATTATTTTCACTCTCATTATTCTTCTATCAAGTCAGAGGAATTTTTATATTATATTTTATAATCTAAATGGTTCATACTTGCCCTCACCCCATTGCATCTTTCCCCCATAGTATCTAATCTTACTTTATCTTTTGGTATCTGTGGCTTTTTGATATCCTCTGCCCCTCTTAGTGTCTTCTCTCATTTGAATTTCATGGATAATTGGGGTGAAGGGAGGTCTACTAAATTCTAAGTTAAGTGACATCTCCCACTGCCCCTTTCCCACATACTCACCTCCACCACCACACACACTCCTTCTATTTGGGATTTTATACAATCAAGCAACTCACTGTTCACGGTGCTCTGGTCTTTCCACCAAGTTCTTTGGCTGCTGAATATGTCTCTCTCCTTCTCGCACTGTTCCTACTTTGGCTGGAGAATAAGATGAATAAGGCCACTCCCTGGAATGAACTTCAAATTTGGCCTAGTCTGAAACAATGAGGGAGAGAGAGAGAGAGAGAAAGCCAGACTAGAGGAGTAGAACGCAATGTTACAAGGAGGATGGAATGAGAAAGGCGACAGGGATTTGCAGTTTCTCACACCCTCATTCCAAAGGTTATTACCACACTGGTGAGAGATACTGCTGCTCCCTAGAAGTGTTGGCCCAAGATCACGTATGTCTTTCTGTGGTCAGCCTATTTTCCGTCTCATTCTGGCCACAGCCCCCTCTCTTTAGTTTGGGTTCTTTCTTACCTAAATAGTTCCAGCTCAACCTTAGAGTGTTTACTGCACATCACAAGCCTCTGTTTCTATCTCTCTGGCTATTTAAATCTTTCCTCCATCTCCCTTTCTCACTTTCTTTCTTTTTCAATATTCATCTCAACACCAACAAATTCCTTTGCATCCCTGGATTTCTCTTCTTTGCCTCTTTTTTGACACACTCATTCAGGCTCTTCTCATTTTTTCTCCCTGAGAATCCTATTTATTCTCATGTCCAAGCAAACACAGACACAACATGAGTTTTTTCCATCTCGGCGTTAGGGAAAAATTGAGGAACATAGAGCCTTCACACTCCTTTTAATGTAGAGGAGCTCCATGAGAGGTGATGGCAGCCATATTCTGGCTTTGGCCTTTGTTTAAGCTTATGCTGAGCAGCTTAGTTTCTGGTATCTTAAGGATAATTTGCTATCTGAAACCCAAATAAAATTGGGAGCCAAGTTCATTCTGCTTGTCTTATTTTTCATCACTAATTTCCTCACATCATGTAATATGTAGATAACACTTTCTGTGATCCAGAAGTTTTAAGGACTTTGGATTTGCTCTTATTCATAGAGTCCCTAGGGGTTAGACCACTAAAACATTCCCACTTTGGAATGAGTCACTTGAATTACAGAGACTTTCAAGTCTGAAGAACCGTTGATTCTGTGTCCAGTAGAAATGTGTAAATTTCAAGTTTCTCTTAGCTCCTTTTGTCTACATTGTGTTTCTCCTTGATGAGCTAAATTATTAAAGAAGAGTATATGCAGACATGGAGACTGGGTGGCATAAGCAGTTTGTGATTGGCTGATAACCTAAAAGTTGGGGGTTCGAACCTACCCAGTGTCTCTATGGAAGAAATCTTGGCAAACTTTTTCATTAAAGATTACAGCCAAGAAAACACTATGGAGTAGTCCTACTCTGTAACACATGGACTCGCCATGAGTTGAGGGTCAACTCGACAGCAGCTAACAACAGAAAAAACAGGTAGACAGGAGCAGATAGTATTAATAGATTATAGACTGCAAGAAAGAAAAGGTAAATGATGGAAGAAAAGAAGGGAAGAAGAAAGGGAGTAAGCTGGCTGTCTAGTTGGGAGGAAGGGATAGCAATGAACATAGAAATAAGCAAATACTACATAAACACCTCTGGTCCCTCCTAGGGAGATGTAAGACCCCCCATCTCTGAGATACATGGATTCTGGTTACTCTCTAGAACAAAGGTGAGTACAAAACCCAGGTCTTCTTAATGTGCCTGGCCCAGAACTTGCTCTTCTCCCATCTGCTCCACTGTGAGAGGGCAGGAACTGGAAAACAGATGTGATTCTAGTCTGGAGAGAGTCAGGGAAAGAAAAGGCAAGGAGTTGGGAGTGAGGGAAGAAACAAAAAGCAGATGCAAAGCAGTTAAAGCAGGACATAGAATAGAGCCCAGAGCAGCAATCATGTTTTCCATGAAGCTTAGACAGATGGGGAAACTGAACTCATGCCAATCATTTGGCAGGGAAAGCAATGACCTCAGCCGTCCTGGCCCAGCTAGAGACTAGGAAAGCCTCTCCAGGCAGTAGGAGGGGGGCTCTCCTGGGGGTCTTAGGAGGGAGTTTGAAGTTAGGGCAATGAAAACAGGAACAGAATGTTCAGATAAGGGCAGGAGAGGGAAGGCAGGGAGCAGCACCTTAGAAAAGGAGAGGGAGCAAGGCAGGAAAGGGCAGAAGAGCAGAAACAACCATATATAGTTGTTGGGCTCAATAAACTTTCAAAAATGCAGTTTGTTTCAAAGTGTTGTTAGGTGCCATAGAGCTGATTTTCGACTCATAGTGACTGTATATGACAGAATAGAACTGCTCCATAGGGTTTTCTAGGCTGTAATCTTTACAGGAGGAGACAGTCTTTCTCCTGCAGAGCCGCTGGGTGGGTTTGAACTGTCAGCCTCTCGGCTAGCAGCCGATTGCTTCAGCATTGTGTCACCAGGGCTCCTTGTTTCAACTATGGCAGCTCCTTTCCTTTAGCACAGTTTCCCGTTAGTTTTCGCTGGCTTCGGCTTAGAGGTCCTCAGGTTTACATTTTTGGAGTGACTTGGCCAGCTTCTGCATTATTACACCATCAGTTTATCATCTTTTAATCACTTCAAGTCAGAATCAGTACCAATGGAGCAAATGCAATCCAGACACATAAGTCCGTGATTTTCTGAGGTTGTCTCTGACACTGGGGAAGAATTCTCTGGGCAGTTGTCCATACTCCCAGCCTACTCTGGCCAAATCTCTTGTGGGTAGAGAACATTCTCCTGCAAAAGGAAAGTTCACCAGGGGATTGACCAACAGGTGCAGAAATGACTTAATGAGGCAGTCTATGTTTGGGTGACCCAGGAAAATTTTCGTTTTCTGAAAGGTCTCCAGTCAGTGGAAGATGGGTAAATTGCAAAGAAAGAGAAGGGAAGCAGAGACGCAAGACAGCAGGCTGGCTTTATTCATCTGTTTATTGGCCCGTAAAAATACACTCATTAGCTGAAGGCCTCTGGGCAAATGTACAGAAACGTGATTACTACAGACCAATCCAACTAAATTAAATCCAGGGGCTAAACACGAAAAAATTCCCATAAAAGGAAAGAAAGGAAGGGAAGAGGGTTAAATGAGGTGGGGGGGGGGGAGCTGTGTGTGTAGGGGAATGAGGCAATGAAATAGCAACAGCCAAACTCAAAAGATGGAGTTACTGCAGGACTTAGGAGCCAGCAGACATATGTCCTCAAAAAACTTAGGGAAAACGTCCTGTGTCTCAGTAACCCATATCTGCTATATAATACATGATGTTCATGCCTCTGTGCATTGCACTTTCTGCTCCCTCTGCCTGAAATATCTTTTTCCCCATTGTCCAGTAAATAAATGCTTACCTGTTCATCAAAACCCAGCTTAGATGTTGCCTCCTTCTAGAAGCCTTTCCTGATCCCCTTTGCTTTTGAAGAGTTAATCATCCTCTACTGACCTACCTCTATTCCTTTATTTGTTTACTTTTACCATCAAATGTATTAAACTCCTTTGTTTTCCACATCTTTAATCCCTGTTAGGGTGAGAATTTGCAAATATGGAAGGAAAAAACAGAAAAGAAAGTGCAAAGAAAAATTGATTGATATTAATAAGTAATGGTAATAGCTAATATAACGATTGGAGCCCTGGTGGCACAGTTGTTAAGAGCTTAGCTGCTAACCAAAAGGTCGGCAGTTCCAATCCACCAGTTATTCCTTGGAAACCCTGTGGGGCAGTTTTAATCTATCTTATAGGGTCACTATGAGTCAGAATCAACTCAATGGCAATGGATTTGGACTGAATATAACGACTAGTTATTTCATTACATCTATATAATTAGTGTATAGTTGTATAATTGTTTTTATTCATATAATTTGTTTTTTATTTATCTTATAATCATATATTTATATTTTTATATATTATATGTGCTAGGCAGTCTCTAAGATGGTGCCTAATGATCTCTGCCTCCTGGTCTTTATGGTCATGTGTAATATCCTCTCCTTGAGTGTGGACTGGATTTAGGCAATACTTCCAACAAGAATGCAGCAGAGGTGATGGGATGTAACTTCCCAGATTAGGTTACAAAAAAGTCTGTGGCTTCCATCTTGGGGGCAAGAGGGACAAGAAGGAAAACACAAGAAAGGAGGGGGAAAAAGAAAGACAGAAAGAGAAAGGAAGAGAGAGAAGGAGGTAAAAAGAGAAAACACATGTAGAAACCACAGAATTACTCTAATATTCACTCTGAATCAGAACTTTATTTAATTTTATATAATCTAATACATAATAAATACTACAATTTTTATACACTGTTGGTGGGAATGTAAAAAGGTACAACCACTTTGGAAATCGATTTGGCACTTCCTTAAAAAGCTAGAAATAGAAGTACCATACGATCCAGCTATCCCGCTCCTTGGAATATATCCTAGAGAAACAAGAGCCATCACACGAATAGATATATGCACACCCATGTTCATCGCAGCACTATTCACAATAGCCAAAGGATGGAAGCAAC